TAGACGTGGGGCTTCATCAAACTAGTCGCAACTCTCCTGTCTACTCTTGAAAATCTACTACTCCTTGTATCTAGTAAATGTATCACAACATACTAAGGTAAGGTATTCTCTTTGAGTCGGAGCATCGAAGGCTTGACTCTCCGCTACAAAAGGTATGGCGAGGAGTACGTTGTCTTTTCTTTTTGAATGGTCTACCGAGGTCACTCTATATGTCTTCGATATGCGTTGCTTGTCAGTACGGCTGACAGCGTCTCGATCTATAATAGTGAACATATCTGACTTCTTTTAGGCAAATTAGTGTGAAACCGTCTCATGCAATATTCTGAGTAGATTATAGTAACCGGAAGACGATACCCAGCCTTATTGTATCACACACTTGCAGCACCAGCCAACCGGAACCAGGCTCAAGAGAGAGATTAAAGATTTCGCGTGAATGATGTCTACACTCTACAGAACTCATGTGCCGGCTTGCCATGGTTTCGTAGCTACCGAAAAGGACAAAATTGTCCAGCCAAAGGCACGGCACTCCCGGGGAAGTACCACAGTTCCGCTCTACGGGACAGTATTAATGTTCCTCGTGTCTAGAAGATTACACTTTGCTTGGCCCAAGACGACCTCTGTGGGGAGAGGGGGGCTATGCGAACATTCACTAATCCGAGTCTGTTTGACTGGTGTTTAAGAGTGAGTACTGCTGGAAAAGAATTCGTATTGAGCGGCCACAGGTTGCAATGAAGGATGCTTAATGTCCATTAAGGCTCGCCAAGGAAGTGGGACACAATGAATACGAAGGTACGACTCTACACTTGTTTAGAACATCTAACGATCTTCGTCAGCTCTGAAAGAAGGCAAAAGACCTGCTTGGTTTATTCGCAAAAATTAAACCACCTTTGGGAATCTTGGTGTTACACAAACCGCTTTTCAACCGATGTCTCTCATGCACAGCGTCTCTAGACGAGTACGAAAATGCTGTCATTGGTCCTCCAATACCCTGATGGCTGAAGTTCTGTCATATCTATGTGAGCTTCATCCTTTTGTAGTTCACTCGAGCTTTTTGATCGGTCATTCAGCAAATCAGGCAATATGTTCGTCCGTTGAGGCATTCGCGGACTCCGATTGACATTGTTCTAGAGTTTTGGCTTGGACATATTGGGTCTACCCTACCGTCTTGCTTTCAAGCTTTAGTGCGGTCACCGCTTCAGCTAGCTTGTGCGCCTCACATATCGCATCCTCGTGCATGTGATTGGAGGCATATCCAGTACTGTACATAGTCCCAAAGCAATGACGACCTAATTTCGAAGCATGATACCTAAAACCCTGGACATGCCGAGCCCATCTTGATGAATCATCACGCTCGTGATTTTGGTCAAAAAGCTCGATATTGAACTGCGAGCGATTAACCCAAGGCAGCACGGTCTTGAGTTTGAACAACTTCTTCGCAAGTCGTGTTGAAAGCCGTACTGAACTAAAAAAGAAAAGAAAAAGAAGACAAGTTCCTGGCAGAACCTGCGTCATCTACGATAGTGTAGGTAGGCTGGGCGAAGCTTTTTGGACATTATAAGCCTGGTCTAGACCAGTTACACTGTCTACTTTGGCTAATCGTGTCCAATAGAAATAAAAGATCATGACCAGCGGTTCGGCATTCCATTGAGCAGCCTGATCAAGTGCCATACATAAGCCCAAGATTTCGCGGGCTCTCCTTCCAATTGCAATCTGAGTACGGAGCATTCATTCCGATAACATGGCTGGATTATCTGCACCCAGTCTTATCCCAGCGCTGAGGTGTGATGGCCCAGACGCATTCGATGGCAAGCTGCTCGCCGCTCGGTGCCCTCCAGTCTATGGCGACGATCATTCCTAGCCCGAAATGTAACATAGTAGTTGTGTAATGTTAGTCTAGCAATTTCTGGTACTCTGGCAGTCATATTCTGCGGAGCGTGTCAACCGGAGAGGATGAGTAAACAGGGCTGCAAAGCACCGCATTTAGGCTGTCGCTCTAACCCTAAGAATTTATGTTATCATTCTAGTATAGCAACGATATCTCCCATCGGATGTCGATGAGTTTCATGTGCACCAATTAGTGATGATCGTCCTATTGTCTTATCCATCCCCCCACCCGATGTAACACTCACTTAACTCACCTACTCTTTGCAGTCGACCCTGCTGCTGTTCCCTCCCTTTTAGGTTGCGTTTTGTTGGCTGGGTCGTGAATCCAACTCATTGAGGAACAGAACGGCATGTGCCGCACATCTTAACGTCTTGATAAATGCAGGCTATTTCGACACCAGCATTTACCGACGAGACGATCGCCCGGGGTACTGCCGCGGCAGTCGTGTATTGGTAGGAATTGCCAGCTTGAATACTGTAGTACACATCACTTGTGCGCTAAGTTCGATGGTGCTTGTCAAGATTAACTACGGAGTATGGTAGCGAGACCGAATTTGGAGAGCCATGTCACCAAAACAGCGCCAACGACACTAGAATACGACAACGGGCAAGGGTAACAGAAGGCTGGACTCCAGATTTGCGAGCTGATTTTCTGCTCGGAGGAGCACAGGAGCTTGTTGGGCAGCGCCTTCGCCTTACGGGTTATCAGGTCGCATTGATAGGAGCAGATCGTCTACTTAATCAGGTCTTCGTGGCCCCCACCAGAAGAGCGTTCCTACGCGTCCGTGGTGGCCAATTATCTGTGCGTTGGAGCGGCGTGGATTTTAGCTGGGACCAGCGGACATCCATCCGTGACACCCGGGCTCCTCTTCAAGAACAAGGATCATAATCTGACGCAATTCCTGGTATTTTATCCGATCAAGAGCTGCGGGTCACTCGCGAACTGTCAGTCCTTGAGGCTCCTTGGCGTTGGTAAATGAAACCACCGCGTCATTGGTAGATTGGGAACTGAAGGCAATAGTGTGTATGGTACGGCTGGACATGCTCGTGGCTGTCAAGAGTAAGATGAAGAATTAAAGTTGCAATCTTGCTCCAACCGCAAAGACGTTCTTCAAGGACCCTGCATTTCCTCTAGTGTACGTACTTAGGAAGAAGAAATTATAGAGTCAGTAGCCACCTGTCATGATTGTCTCAGAAACCCGCCGATTGTAAGCCACAATCCCACACGGTAGATGAAGAAGAAGCATCAGAAGAAGCGGCAGAAGCAACAGCCACCACAAGAAACGCCCTAGAAGAAGCCCGATCATATGGTTGACTACGCGCGTAAAGAGCTGTCAGTGTCAGAAGAGAGGCGCGGCACAAGTGGCCGGCTGGCTTGGTACAGGTGGTCTCCCCTAAACGGGACGCCGATGACACCGTAATACGAGTGGAGATGGTCTGAGACAATCAGTTCCCTATTGGAGAATAGCATCGGCGTCAGTCCACATCGTTGAGGGTGACACTTTGTTCCTCCTTCTAGTGTAACATCTCCCAAAATTCCCGCCAGTCGCAGAACAGAACTCGGTTGAGTGTGGCCTTGTTCACTTTCGTGTTCATCCATCATGTCCGCACAGTCACTCAATGCTGTCTGTGCGAAGGTCCCAATGAAATTCCACCTCCACAGCTTGGGTAGCAGATGGCGACGACTCCTTACTTTCAAGCCTCAACGCCCAACTTGCATTACTCCGGCAATGTCCGCCTCCGGTCGCCGGCCGTTCTGCTTACTCCTTTTGTCGATAGTTAACGCTTTTGGCGTGAGCCGGGCGGAGCAGTGCTGTCAGACAATTGAGGGGGGTTCCATGTCGCCAAAGCAGGATCAAGTGAGAAAAAAGTGGTGCCATGTTGGTGAGATTCTGAATTGAGCTCGCTTCTGCATGGGCTGCAGAACACCAGCACAGCACAGTCGCAATTATGCACGCGAGGACACTTGCAAAGAAATTTCCCGTTGTCCTCCACAGCACCAACAACCTTGAATCACCTTGCTCCTACGGCCCGGAAAGACTGGGTGCTGTAGTATTGTATAGTCAAGTCCCAACCCGGAAAGACATTTGCCGATGAGATGGATTTACGGTTAGAAATGCAGGAAAGTTTCCTCTTGCCCGAATCCATCAATTTAGCCCTCTGGAAACAAAATGGCAGTTCAAGGTTCAGCATTGCATCCATGCACGCGTGCCAGTGCCCTTTGCCATCGTAACTTTTCCGAAAGCAGTCGATTATCATCGAGATGGCCCCCAACTCTTCCCAATCCTCCATCACGGTGGATTTCGTTCCCTGCCACACCTCGTGGGAAGCTGGTCAGGGACAGCAAGGCATCGGAGTTGTGTTTGAGGAGCGGCCCATTGTCACCCTACCACGACAGGACCCCTGAATCTCTTTCACCATCTCGCGACTCTTGGCAAAGGAAACCCCCCGAGTTCAAGAGTCTTCAATCTCTTCGGGACTAATGCGGGGGAAGGATTCCAGACAATGGACTCTTCGGTCGGTAGCTGGATACGGCCATTCCACCGGCCACTAACCACCAAACTAACACCAACGTGGGCGATAGCGTGTGAGGCTGGATTACCCGAGATGTGGTTCGCCCCATCTGCCGACATTTGTCCACACCAGGGTTGACACCTCTTGCCCGCTTTCAACATAGCCCAGCATGCGAAGATCTCACTCCAATATGGGATAGGTTCTCCAGAAGCTGCAATTGGAGTCTTCCGGGGTGGCCTGCCCATGTTGCATTCTGCAAGGTTCTGCGCAGGTGTAAGTGTGACGATCAGGGGTGCCGATGTCTCTCTCCTCTCTCCTTCCACTCACGCCGCATGGCAGCAACAGGGCCAGGCCGCACTCACACAACCGCGGTAGCGCAATTCCGTGTTTTTTTCCCACAATGTCCAGGAACGCATATCTTCAACAAGGTCCCTCCCATCCCTCTTCGTTCCTGTCAGGATGGAGAACCTGAAGAACGACGTCCCGAATCTGCGGTTCCTCTCACGGCCCCTCCCTTGACAAACACGACTCGTCGTTCGATCCCTTTTTCCTTTGCCCGAGTACGGATATCGAAGACATTGAATCGTCTCGTCCCGATCGCAATGGCGGAAATCGAGAACCGCGGCCCGCAGCTGGTGGCCGTCGGCATAACGCTCGTCACAACAGCCATCGTGGCAACGACTCTCCGATGTTATGTCCGACTGTTCCTCGTCAAGAACTTTGGAGTCGACGACTGGTGCATGCTTGCCGCCATTGTACGGAAACCAATCTTCTTTTCCACGCACCGATGCGTTTAACAGAATCTCGGAGATCTCAAGCTGACCAGATGACCAACTTGCAGACATCATTCATCCTCTTCGTGGCATGTGCGATTACGGGTGTGCATTACGGAACGGGTCGACACAAGGTGAATCTCACCGACGATCAGTGGTCAACCGCCATGATGGTAAGCTTCCAACAGCCCCGCCAATGCTTTCAGGATGGTGAGACGATGGGAGGACAGACACTGACTGACTGTAGTTCTGGTGGTACTGCTACCTGTGGTACTGTTTGTCGATGATCGCGTCTAAAATTTCCATCGGCTACTTCCTCCTCCGAATCACGGTCCGCAAGGTCGACGTTTGGATCATTTACAGTGTCATGATGATGACGGTTTGCACCGGCGTCGTGTTCTTCTTCGTCACTCTCCTGCAATGTCAACCGATATCTTATTTCTGGAATAACACGACCCAAAGTGGCCGCTGCATCCCCGTGGATGTCATCATCGCTCTCACCTACCTCTACAGCGCCTTCAGCGTCATCTGCGACTTCACATTCGCCATTTTGCCCATGGTTCTCATCTGGAAACTGAAGATGGACCACAAGACCAAGCTGGCTCTTGTCCCAATTATGGCCATGGCCTGCATGTTCGTGCTCTACATTCGTCTGTTTGCGGCCAAATAACTAACTTCCACCCTCTTTAGTGCCAGCGCTGCCGTCGTTGTGCGCATGCCATTTGTCAAGGACTTCAAGAATCCAGACTTCCTTTGTAAGTCAAAGTCCCACTATGTGCCATCGTGATTGATTTAAGGTTGTTGGTGGCTGACTCGCGCACTTCCAGATGCAACCGTCGATATTGCAATCTGGTCCACCACTGAACAGGGTCTGGCGATCACCGCAGGTAGCCTTGCAACGCTCCGCCCACTCTTCCGACTCGTAGGATACAGACTCGGCTTCACATCCATGGGACCCTCGCAACTCCACGATTCCGAACGTGGCGCCCCATCTGCCATGGGCGGCAACATCAAGAACATCAGCAACAGTAGTTCAAGCCGGGGCCAACGGCGCGGTCCTTTCAGTCTCACCACCTTCATGTCCAAGGATGAAAGTGAGAGTCATGAGATGGGCAGTGGCAGCGAACAAGATCGAAACCAGCAGCAGAAGATGTCTTCAAGTAAGCGCGCTCGCGGCTGGGAGTCTACAGGGAGGCGGGATAATGAGAGCGAGACCGAACTAACTTTCGAAGCCTCAAAGGAGTCGGTGGGGAGTGACCGCGACAACATAGTCGTTGTCCAAACCTTCTCTTTGCGGGAAGATCGATTGTAAACGTTGTACACATACTGTAAACGGTGAATCTAATATTCAACGCCTCACGAATGGGAAATGGGACATGGTATATATAAAAACTTAATTGAGCAAGATGCATATGAAGACCTCGCTGCACGCGCGACCCAACTGCCCTGGTAGACGCAACAGATACATCAAACAAAAATTTGAGTTAGGTATTTGGTAGGAGATGCATCAGACGAACCATCGTCCCTAGTTCACGCGCATGAGCGGCACACATATGTTTGAGCAACTCAAAAGCAAGCCATGATCTGATGTTCTTTTGAGTGCGCCTGGAAACTTAGTTGTCTCAACCTCAATAGGCCACTCCGTTGAGAACTTTGGCCATCCAAAATGCAGGCACACGAACAACGCCGGAGACTGAACAATGAGGGACCGTAAAAAGTGATGTACGAGGCCGGCCTTCAGGCTTGTTCAAGTCTAGTCATAAAGCTACATATGATCTTTGGGGTCTTCCTTCCAAATTACCCTCGCCACAGCGAGCGAAGATCTTTATATTGATCTTACTTATGTCTAGACATTCAACCAACCATCGCTCGGGAACCACGATTACGACGACAATGGGTAGCTTCCAAGGTCATGTCAAGAAGAGACATATTTAATTCTGCCCCGGGAAATGCCATGCAAGAAGAGTCGTGGGTCCCTGCTATCAGCACCACGAAACACTTCACAAGTTGTCGTGATTCGCACACCGTCATCCGATAGCAACACTGTGTATGACCTGACCTGAGTTCTGGCGGTAAACGGTGAAGCTGGCGATAAGCATCACTTTCTACAAAGCTTGGCCTCTCTAGTTACACCGATACGCCAATTTTCGACAGTTTGGCGGATTATCGGTCAGAATCAACAAGTAGATTTCATCGCTACTGCACAAAGCCATCGTCAACACTCACAGCATCGCTATGCAGTGCTGAACTAAGGGTGGAGGACACTTGCTGGAGAGTACACTCTTAGTGCAGAGCCGCCTCGCAATCAATGTCGGCTTGAAAATACGCAAGAGCGCAAGCGTAATCATTTCTCTCGTCTCTGTTTGGACTAGGAATGAATTGCACCTCGAACCCTCTAGGGAGGGTTATTCTCGTCCGACATCATTCTCTGAATGTTCTTCCTCATCGCTTTATCTCTTGCGGTGGCTCGTCGTTCGGTCGTAAGATCGGAAGCACATCCTTGCTCTGGTCGACTGTGACATAGTATACTGCATCCGATCCATTCAATGGCGGTAATCACTCTCGGGAATGTTGAATGATGGTCTCGGGTATGCAGTATCTGGCTCAAGTTTCATCCTTGATGGGTGCGGCATTGTGTTGGGGCCTTGTCAAGCCAGCTAGCACTCCATTCTGTACTGGCCTCGGGAGACGGTTCAGAGAGCTCTGGTTGGCCTGGGATAATGGTGTTATTGGCGTTAATGGTGTTGTTGAGGTTCTATCAACGTTTTCCATGCTCTGACCTCGCGCCAGAACAGCCAATGAGTTCTTGAGCGCATTCAATTGGGCCTGGAAACCGTGACTTTCGGTTACATGCTGACGACCGAGAATAGGCTGCTGTTGTGTAGATGTTGTCTCTTTTTGGCGTTGAAGCTCGGCCTCGATTCGATCCATTCTCTTGGCCTGTTCTTTCTTTGTTTCCGCCTGCTCGGCAACGTGGTTCGCAAGGCGGGCCTCCACCATTGCGATGCGATTGTGGAAGGTGCCTAGGTGTTGATCTAGGGAGGTTTTGCTAACATCGACAAGTGTTCTGCAATTATTGATCAAGGCTGTGCTGATGGTGATGGCCTCCTCCATCTTTATAATCCGAGGCATGTAATCAGCATTCGGTACTTGGTCGGCGATGGCCCTTTCTATCCTCTCAATGCGCTCTTCAAAGACCTCTGGAGATGGCAGGATCGAGTGAGGCTGCGCGCCCACCCATTCTTCCAATGCGGCTAGCCGTTCTCCCGTCCGAGTACTCTGCTGAATATCCACCTCCTTTCGATCTTCCAATCCTAATCTGACGGTTTTCTTGCTTGCCTCGGAAGCTTGAGACGCATCTGTGTTGGACAGAAGACCATATTTGACTTCCTTCATCTCTTGGTTCAACGTCTCCAAATCGCCTTCAAATCTTTTGATAAGGTCATGCTGACCTTGCTGTCGTTGTTGAATCTCTCGGCCCGACTTGCGACATGTCATAATCTCTGCAACAAGGCTGTTTATCTGGCTACTGAGGACATCCAATTTTTGTAGGGCATCTTGGCACTTTGAAGCAGCGAGCAGGTTGAGCTGGTCGTGTGCTTTCCGGATATCACTTGAAAGTTCCCCATATTCCATGACGAGGCTTGTTTGCGCTTTCAAGAGCCGCATAGTCTCGTCGTTTTGTCCAACTCTGGTTTCGAGCAATTGGAGTAGCTCATCGCCATACTGTGACTCTTTCTGGTGTCCGATAGTGGCTAGATCGTCCAGGGACGGGTCGTATGTCTCGTGTTGTTCTTCAGCCAAATCCTGACTTGTATTAAGTGTCGAGTCTGTTGCCCCATGGTAAGTGGGTGTTTGTTGATGGTCTTGGCTGCTCATCACTTGGCTAGAGGGCTCCTTGTGACAAGGGGTGAGCTGCAAGTCCAGTCGCGGGGAGCTTGACGGCGACCACGGGACGCATTGCCTTTTGAAAGAGTTGGGTGCATCGGGGCTAAGTTTCCGTTTCCGCCCTTCGCTTTGAATGAGGTCATCAATAACGCTTTCTGAAGCACCCGGAGTAGACGGCCTGATGCCATCTTGGCCGGAAGAAGCTATGCGTTGCCTGTCCGGTGTTGGCATCGAGACGCGTGGGAGACTCTTGCCAGAAAGTATCTTCTGGAGGTGGGCGCTAGTGGAAGAGTCCCTCCGTTGACGCTGGAGTGATGGTACCGAGATGCGCGAGGCGAGATCCTGGCCGGTGCTGCGTATGCTTCCACCTCTTATTCGAAAGCTCGATGGTGTACCCTTCTTGATGGGGAACGACCCATACATGGGAGGATTGTCTGGGTCAATGATGGACATCCGGTCATGCTTCATCAGCTCTGACCATGATTCCTCAACGTACTTCCACTCTTCCTCAAGTTCCTGGGTTGTCGGCTGGGCACCGACTGGCGGGTCAGGATCCCGGGAATTCCACGCGTCGATGAGATTACTCAGAAAGTTATGGCGCTTCTTGTAAATTTTTGGGGTTTCCAGGTATACGCGGCGACGATCGGAGTAGATTTCTGCAAGGTCCTCGGCCATTCGAGAGCTGGCATTATACACACCCCAGTGATCGCGTATGAAGTCCCAAAAGCGGGTGCGATCGAAGGCCAGATGTTGACATCGTAACAGAAGCCGGAAAAGAACAACGAGGTTGATGTGTATTCGCTCTTGACGGTCGGACAAGGTCTTCAACTCGACAAATCTGTCAAACTTCTTTGCATTGCCAGGATGAAGAAGAATCGCTTTGGACAGGGCCAGTGAATTCGGCCACGGGGGAAGCGGGAGCGAGACGGCTGTGATCCAGAATATGTCGTTGTAGTCCCCTTTCCCCACCATGGTGTAATAGAAAATGGTTCAAGGTCAGCGAGGATATCGCCAGGCCAGAATCCAATATGGGATGCGGATGCTGATTTCGAAAGAAAAGTATGCGCATGCGAGAGGGGTTCTGATGTCCAATGTCAAGAAATCTGTACGCGTGACACTGACGCGAAAGGGACGGGAGGCAAGGATGGAAGGGGCCCCTCCGCGCAGAAACCGAGAACACGGAACCAGGGAGATGCCGGCGCCGCCACGCGTGGCGGTCTCCGGGGTCCGTCCAGGGGGTTCAACGCTATGCGGAGTTGGCTGACGCTATCAGTGTCCTCTGTAACGAAGTAACGGTTCCTTATCACCGAGGAGTGTTACCTAAGCCAGATCTCCCTGGGGCCAGCCGACTCGTTCATTCTCACATTCCATCTCACTCTTTCTCTCTCTCTCACTTTCTCAGTCTTGCCCTCAGTCTCATGCTTAGTCCTATTCTCAGTCTCACTCTCACTGTTGCTCTGGAACTTGGTCATTTCATCAAGTGGGTGACAACTTTTGAGAACTGCTCATGCTCCAGTCTCATCTTTCACACCATCAATCCCACCATAGTTATGTAACATCCTCAACATCCGCCATTCCTCAACTCCAGTCCAAGTCTGCATTCGCATTGTCCACCAGCACGCCCCAATTCAATATGCTCAGCTCATAACCAGCACACTCCGGAAGCGCACCTTGTTAGAGATCATGTGTTCCGAAGCCTTCTTCGCATCATCCAGTGAGAATCTCTCAACCATGCACTTGATGCCGTGTGTTGCTGCAAAGTCAATGGCCTCCTCCGAGTCCATCTGATGTCCACTGGGCCATCCGCAAACCGACTTGCCTCCAACGATGAGGTCGATTGTATCCACTTCCAATCCTCCGACTGGCGCTAAGACGCATAGCTTGCCGCCAGGCTGTAAACCACCGGTAAGCGGCGAGATGATCTTAGGGTTGGGCGCCGTCGCAAGGATCAAAGCCGCGCCCCCAAGCTTCTTGAGCTCCTTGACGGGGTCTGTTGCGCTCGAGTCGATGTACTCATGCGCACCCAACTTCATCGCAAAGTCTTTCTTCGTAGACCCAGAACTCAGGACCACAACCTTGTAGCCCATGCGACTGGCGTACTGCACGCCAAGATGACCCAGGCCGCCAAGACCCTGGATGGCAACAAGATTGCCTTGCTCGATTTGCATCTTTCGGATGCTGTTGAAAACGGTGACACCGGCGCAAAGAAGTGGTGCTGCTTCCGCAGGGTCAACGTCCTTTGGCACCCGGACTGCCGACTCGGCACGGAGCAGCACGTACTCGGCGTACCCACCATCTCGGAACACGCCGTTGATCGTCTCGTTATCACAGGCTTGGAAGAAACCCTTTTGGCACTGTCGACACGTTCCGTCATGCCCTACATATCACGATTTAGAAAAAGAGCTTTCAACGTGCAAAGGCATGAGAACTCTGGAACAGACATACCGCCGTGCCAGGCACCTCCAACGCGCTCTCCGCCTGAGAACCGGCTCACGCCTTCGCCGACTGCCACCACATCGCCAATGATCTCATGGCCCGGGATCCGAGGGAAAACATCTCCGAAACCACCTTCGGCCATACCCACATCGGAGTGGCATACGCCGCATGCTAAGACTTTGACGAGGACGAGGCCGGGGCCTGGTTGTTTCAGTTCCTGGTCAACAATCTTGAGGGGCGCGCTCTTGGACTCGATCACGGCCGCCTTAAAGGTTTTCGGAAGTCCTGACATCGTGGATAATGATGTAGCAGACTTGGAAGTGCAGGACTTGAAGAAGGAAGAAGAGGTGTGTTATGAAAGAGAGGGTTTGCTTTTGCGTATATCTCGACTTGGGGCGGCGCGATGGCCACTACTTATACACATGCATGACTAAGTGTAAGATGGCAATCTGTGTGTAGGTATAGGTATCACATTACGTCGACTCGACTGGTGCAACACTGGAATCCACGCTTTCCGAACGGGTCGGGCAAAGTCAAGTCCAGACTTTCAAGCCCCTCACTTGTTTACTAATAAACAGGATAGCTCAAGAGGCCCGGTATCTAGACGTCTGCACCGCTGATAAGCACTCCTGGCTGCAGCCATCACCTATTGGCTTCGCATGTCTCATAGGTTGCCTACAGAGCAACTTGGATATTTTGTGTAAGACTAGGACGGTTTTAGAAGAGGGGTTGAAGTGTGGTGGCGCTGCTACCATGGCTATGATGACATCAACAAGACTCAATTCAACCCTCATGGATGTGAACCCCTCCCATAGCTCCAGGATAGAGCTGGTTGTGCGAAGAACGTCTTTGGTGGTAGAGCCATGCTACGTCTACTGTGTAAGGTAGGGTCAGATGGAGTTAATCGGTCGCCCGTTGCTGCCAAGATATGTACGGCCATGACACCGTCACAAAGTCCGCGGAGGCCTTGGAACTCATGCACGATTTGTTTTCTCGGGCATATCTCTACTTGGCCTCATGGCAAGACCAAATCCACCAAGTTGTGGCTGGAGAAACGAATCAACTGCGGCTCGGAAGAGATCTCATGGGAGCCATCGGCAATCGGCGTGCCGAATGCAGGCTTATGTCCTGCACCATTCCATCAGCCAATGAGAGATTATTCCTTGTCGGTTTTGCAGGGACCTTTTTCTCCAAAGCCGACAGATACGGATGAGCGAGTCCTCTGTTTCGTTCGTACCTTAAATCACCTTAGCCACGGCGGCATGCTGGACGTAAGGTACGGTACCTTAACACCAAGCCGTTACCTGGATATGCGTCACTGAGTTCAATCGACTCAGCCTTACCGGAGCAAAGAAGGATTCAAAACTATGCCAAAGCTAAGTCGTCAAGCTTTCATTAGCACAAGTGCCAATGGGGGAGATGCAGCAGGCGGGTCTAGGTTTTCTTGAAAGCTCCGATACAGCCGGTAAGTTACTAAGTTACGGTATCCATAATATGCTGGTCACTCACTGAAGTACCTTTCTCGCGCTTCGCGCCAAACAAAGAACTTTGAATGGCCGCCCGAGAGCAACTAAGTAATGAAGAACACCTACTGTTACAGTTGCGGAGATAGCAGTTAGCTCGATCTGATATTCCCCTCCAGAGCCTCCCCACAACCTCGGCCTTCGCGCGCAAGCTATGCTCTCAAGCGGCGAAGTCTTGAAGGCCTAGCTCTGAAGCCACGCCTCTTGGGGCTGCAGATCAGGGTCTGCGAGGCTCCATGAATGTAGTCATTCATGGAGTTGATGGATCTTTTGTCGCAGCACCTGAAAGCTACCTCCGGTGTATAAATGACCAAAGCCTGCCCACATCTGTATTTGGTTTTTTTTTTTGAAATCAGGAAAGGAACATTACTTTACGAGGAGCTTCAAACGGTTCAGTCACGCAGTCCCATCACACAACCAATCAATAGAGCTCCATCTACAGGCAGTCCCAGAAACACCCAACACCCAGAATGTCTCTCCAAGACAAGGTCATCCTCATCACCGGAGGTTCCAAGGGCATCGGCAAGGCCATTGCTCTTGATGCTGCCGCACAGGGTGCCAAGATCGTTGTCAACTACAGCAGCGACGCATCCGCTGCCGACGAGGTTGTAAAGACCGTTGGCAGTGACCGCGCTATTGCCGTACGCGCCGATGGCTCCAAGACGGTCGAGTTGCAAAAGCTCGTGGATGTCACCGTCGACAAGTTTGGCAAAATCGACGTGCTAATCCCCAACGCCGCCATCATGCACATGCGCACTGTCGAGAATACGACGGAAGAGGACTTTGACCAAATGTTCAACACCAACGTCAAGGGGCCCTACTTCCTGGTACAGGTATGCTATCCTACCCATTTACACGTGTCCTTGTGTTCAACATGACTAATTTTTTTTATTTTTTTTTTGAAAAGAAAGCTCTCCCCCACATGTCGGAAGGCGGCCGCATCATCTTTCTCTCAACGACAGTCCTCGCTTCAAGTAGCCTTCCCCCGCCGTACCTGCTCTATGCATCGACAAAGGGCAGTATTGAGCAGATGACCAAATACATGGCCAAGGACCTTGCCAAGAAGGGCATCAACGTCAATGCTATCGCCCCTGGTCCGACCGGGACTGACTTGTTCTACAAGGGCAAGACGGAGGAGATGCTCAAGAACATCACTGCCAGTAGCCCCTACAACAGAATTGGTACACCAGAGGAAATCGCTTCTGTGGCGATATTCTTGTCAGGAAAGGAATCATCGTGGGTGACGGGGCAAATCATTCGGGTAAATGGAGGAGCTGCATGAGAAGCATGTAATTAGACACTGGCTTGCGCATGTAGTGCTGGTCATTAATATAGGATTCCCATGTCCAACGCCTTGGCCTCACTCCCTCGAGGCAACCACTCGATGCGCGCGATCTTAGATGCTCTTTCACTATCCTGGAAATCTAGAGTTCAACTCATGGTGCCACCGGAGATTCTACTGAGCCCCCAAGGCAGCCAGTGCATTGCGTAGCTCCTTCACTGCCGTCGGCACGTCCTCAAAGTTGAGCGCAGAAATAGCCCACTTGGCGTGCTTCTGCGCCTTTGGCAAGTCCATGTCATCCGACGGTGCACTGCTTGGTGCCCACGAGTTGTGCGAGCCGGCAGCCACCGGGGCTCTGGGCTGAGGTGCAATTGGCGGTGGCTTGAATTGCTGAGGCGCCGGAGGCGGAGGTGACTTGGTAACATTAGAAGGGGGTATCTGAGGCGGCTGCCACGGCGACGCAGCGTTGGCCGGGCTGATGGATGGGCCAGTAGAGGATGCAGCATAAGGAGAAGGAGCCGACAGAGCATTTGCCGTAGCGGAGGGGTCATTTACGCCGGTTTGGCTCAAGGGAGATGGCGGGAACTGTTCGGGAGGGTCAAAGTAGCCCTGAGTCTGTGGTACCGGCGGATTGAGGTCGTTTGCTGACGGCACTGATGGGAGATCGAGCACGCTGGACTGGGCAGGCTCAGGCTCGCTGGGCTCGGTCGTCTTCGCGGTCTCTGCCGGTGCCGATGCCTTTTTGTAAAACTCGGTCTCCGGGTCATCCTCTACGGAGGCAGGCTTTGGGGATGTTAATCCTTGGACGTCTGGGTCGTTGGGATCCAGCGCAGGAAGAACTTCCTCGGCCGCGGGCTCTTCCTGTTTGGGGTTTGACTCGTTGGGGTCCTTGCCCTCCTTCAAAGCCTTGAGTATCCGAGCAGCGTTCCACTTTGCATATTTGACCTTCTTGAGTGTTTCTTCATCTACAGGGCCCCAAATATTGCCCAGTAGGAGGAAGGTTGCAGCGGCATCGAAGGTATCGGCGGTTTGTCTGGGTTCGAAGGGCGTTAGTGGACAAGGCAGGTGGTGCTATCGGTGGAAAAAAAAAAAGGCGCACCTGGTGACGCGATTCGCGCGCATAACCTTCTCTGCTCTGTCAAGAGTTTCTTGTGCGAACTGCTCAACATATGCTTGTCCCACTGTGTCGTCGGTGATGGCTTCTTCTTGAGCATTTTCAGTCTTGGTCTGGCAGGGCTACGATTAGTCTCTGGCGCACGGCACCAACGATAAGATCACCATCATCTTGCTGACCTGTTCAAGCCTGTCCATGAGATTTGTCGTGTATGAAAGACTCTCATCGTCGACATTGTGCAGACCCTTGGCTAGGATTTGATTGACTACCCAGTATTCGCCTACGTGTGTCCGGTCAGTATCTAGGGGCATCCTCCGGCCATGCAGTACTGATGGAGATGCCCGGACATACACCAGTAGGTTACGACAGGTTTGTGCTGCCGTAGCTGGTTTGCGCGATTGATGAATCTCGTGATATCTGCCTGTCGCAGGCTGTCGGGGATCGGTTCGGCCATGGCTGCGGCGGCGGCTGCGACGAGGAGGAAGAGGGTTCGAGGAGCGCGATGGATAGTATCGGGTAAGGACGCTTTTGATCAGTGTCGGGGTCCGGACGAGAGAAATGGGGGCAAAAAATAAAGACCCTTTGCTCGGTGACAGCTCACGGGCGCAAAGGGGTAGCGAACTTGCGACGAGTGGTGCTACACCAAGAGGTGAGGGACATGTATTCCGTATCTTGGAAGCCTTACCGCAGGACGCTGCAGCAGCGGGCAGCACAGCACATGAAAGTTTCCCCACACAGCGCACATCACCTCACAGCGGGGTCTACGGTGGGAAGGTCACCGGGAACGTACCTGCCCTGCGCAATCCACGGTGGTGCTTACCTACCTTAGGTAGGTACTTTGGGTGAGGAGGTCAGGTATGGAAGGTACTTCCAGGAACGTCCACTCAAGGGAAGTACCTTACCTAAGGAGCCTACCTACGCAGTAGGTACCTAGTGTACTATGGCTTGTGGCTGATGCTCCTTGAATTGTGGCTCAAGCTCAGCAGAGCTGGTGTGGGGTATGTGGCTGGTGCTCAGGCCAGATGCTTTGATTCAATTGACTGGAAATTTCCATGGTTCCATTCCCAGACTGAATTAAGCCCAAAGGTGAGGGGTTCGCGTCTCACAGTTCCACGCTGGCCTCTTTGCGCTGCGAAGAAGCCAACTAAACTTTTGTGCTTCCCATTTGCTTGCTGTCCCAATTCCATAAATGCAGACGAGGACAGAGCTCTCTCACTTGGCTGAACCCAGTTCCATGCTCTGACTTTTTATTCCCACACCTTTTTTCTTATCTCCCATCTTCCTTTCCTCCCCTCCTCTCTTTCTTCTCTCTCTCTCTTTCCCTCTACCTTAGCCATCCACGTCTTCATTGTCTCTGGCGTCACATCACTTGCTGCCGTCTGGCACACTTTTACTCACCTTGCCCACCCCACACTCACACAAAAGATAAGGTGCATTGCTGCTAAACTTTATCCACCACGATGCATCACCCCACTCTCCTTGCCGCTGGCGCTGCCGTTCTATCGGCTTTACCCGGCGCCCACGCTGGCATGTACCCAAAAAGCTCTGCTGTGCTCCAAGTTGATGCCAAAAACTACGACAGTTTGATTGCCAAATCCAACTACACATCGGTGAGACCTCTCCTCTATTTCTTGCTGTCGTTTATATGACATCTGCTACAGTACGCTTACCTGAGTGTATTATTAGATTGTCGAGTTTTATGCCCCCTGGTGTGGTCATTGCCAGAACCTCAAGCCAGCCTACGAAAAGGCTGCCAAGAACCTTAATGGTCTGGCCAAGGTTGCTGCCGTCGATTGCGACGAGGATGCCAACAAGCCTCTCTGCGGTCAGATGGGCGTGCAAGGCTTCCCTACCCTCAAAATTGTGAGGCCTGGCAAGAAGCCCGGTAAGCCCGTTGTCGAGGATTACCAGGGTCCCCGTACCGCCACCGGCATCGTCGAGGCTGTCGTCGACAAGATCACCAACCACGTCAAGCGCGTTACCGACAAGGATCTCGACTCCTTCCTCGAGGGTGACAAGCCCAAGGCAATCCTCTTCACGGAGAAGGGCACCACTAGCGCCCTGCTCCGCAGTGTCGCCATCGACTTCCTCGACGCTGTCACGGTTGGTCAGGTTCGCAGCAAGGAGGCAAAGGCTGTCGAGAAATTCAGAGTCAAGTCTTTCCCCGCCCTGGTGCTACTGCCCGGCGGGGACAAGGAACCTATTGTCTACGATGGAGAACTAAAGAAGGATGGGCTGGTATCGTTCATTTCCCAGGTCGCCTCGCCCAACCCCGACCCCGCGCCCAAGGCCGACAAGAAGAAGGCCGACAAGAAGGCCGACAAGAAGTCTGAGAAGAAGAGCAAGCCGGCGTCCGAAAAGTCGACCACCAGCACTGCCACCGAGCAGGAGTCCACTCCCGAGCCCGAAGCCGCCGAGACTCCGTCTTCAGAGCAAGCCGCCCCTGTCCTCAACGTTATTCCTCCGTTGCCCATTGCCAACACGCCTGGGAGGCTCCTGTCAGAGTGCCTCAACACCAAGTCCCACACCTGCGTCCTGGCTTTCGTGCCTTCCAAGGAAAACGAAAAGGCCGAGAAGGCGCTTACCAGTCTGTCAGAGATCGCCCACAAGCACGGCCAAGCCAAGCGCAAGCTGTTCCCCTTCTTCTCTGTCCCCGACGAGAACCCGGCCGCGGCCACTGTGCTCAAGAGCCTTGGCCTTACTAGCGAGGTTGAGATCATCGCTGTCAACGCACGCCGGAACTGGTGGAGACACTACGAGGGCGACTTTGAGGTGGCGAGCGTCGAGGGCTGGATTGATGCTATCCGTCTTGGTGAAGGGGCGAAGAAGCAGTTGCCTGAAGGTTTGGTAGCTCAGGAGATCGAACCCGAGTCTTCAGAGAGCAGTGCGACCGCCTCTACCGCAGCCACTGGCCCTACCGCCGAGCCCGAGACGGAGGCGCCCAAGGAGGCACCATCTGAAGCCCCCGCGTCGCATGATGAGTTGTAAACATCCGCTTGATTTCTGGTTTCTGCACGGATGGTTAGCTTGGACTGTGTCGTGTGTACATTAGTTAATCAATATGATGGGAGAAATCTGACCATTGCCAATACCGCTGAGCCGCTTCTGTGGTTGATGCTGACCTCCATGTTTCCACTCACGATTCCATCTCTAAATCCAGCCCGGTGCCTTTCTCTACCGTGCCTTCTTGCACCATTTGGCGGCCCTTCTCCTTGACAACACGGTCCATAAACTGCCGCACCTGCTTGCACCCATCCACACCAACTGCAAGCATACCCTCCAACCGGCTGACCTGAACACGGCTTTCACACACCAACACGGCAACACGGTCCGTGAGGCCCAGGGTTCCCACTGTCATATACGGCAGCTCCTGCTCTTCCTGGGTGTTGAGATCGAGTAGAGGGTCTGCACCATCATCGGCGGCTGCGTATGTAGAGGTCGAGCCTGCGGTGCAAGCGGCAATGTAGTCGGTCATGGGAATGCCAGCGTCGATAAGTGCTAGTGTCGAAGCGTTCAAAAGAGCGGCCAGAAGTGAACCGTCCTGCGACAAGACGTGCAGAGAGATGGTGATGCTGCTGTGGGGGAAGAGGTGTGTGTGAAGGTTCGCCGAAACAGCTTTGGCAATGGTAGCCTCGAGTTCTTGTGACCGCCTGCAAGGATTGAATGATTAGTCCAAGGCAACACGCATATGCATAAGCTCGATGATGCACTTACTTGTCGTTACGGCCTCGCTTCATGCGGTCGACAGAGCTGAAGCCAGCGACGACAAGGTTGACGGTAACGGCAGCCTCCTTGGACTGACCGCCAGCGCCTCCGCGACGCTGAGGTTCGGCAGGACCCGTAACAACGCACATGACCTTTGTGTGGCCCATCTCAAGATAGCTCGAGCCATCGGCGGCTTCCTGGGTACGGATCTGGGCGTGCAGGCGTCGGAGCTCGTTCCAGCGGCGGCCATCGACGCGCAGAAGCGCCATGGAGTAAGTGGAGGTATCGAGGGGCATGATTGGACGACCAGCAATTTGCTTAGTTGTGTACGTGTGCTGAAAACTCCGGGAACGTAGGTATACAGGCGAATGGAGGGATTGTGTGCGCGGAAAGCTATGTATGAAGCGTTGCACGAGGTGGGATGCGAGGCTGTTGCGACTGCGACAGAGGGACAAAACCAAATTTTTGGAAAGCGTCAATCCACCGCCTGCCTTTGGCCGCGCTGGGAAAGGTGGGATGGTGGGGCCGGGCGGTCGGTGAGACGGCGTCCGGGCCCCGGTCATCTACGTACAGAGCTCGGATCTCTGAACCCCTGGGACCCTGGGCTTCGCATGGCTCGCACTGTCCCTCCCGAAATCGCGGGGAAGCTCCCATCTCTTGATGGTGGGAAGACCCGAGAGGAGGGAGTCTCGAAACTAAAGAAGTAACATCAGGCTCAGCATGGATGCTGCAAGTGGATTCGTTAGAAGGCCAGCTGCCACTATCACATGGCTGACTGTGACTGGTAGGAATCGAAAACGCGGGGTAGCAAGAGTCAATGCCATGTTCTCTCATGGTGCTGAAAGTTCAATGTATGAGTTCGCGTGGACCGTTGAAGACGGGCTTGATGTAGGAAATGAATGGCATGAACTCACTGCTTTTCAAAAGTCTTTGTTGTTGTTCGAGTCAAATTTAGTGACGACACTCAGATCTCACCCAGGCGATCATGGATCAATTACCTCAACGACAAGGAGCTTGGTAGTGATGGTGACCGATGTCCTCATTCTCATTCCTCGTTATGCTAGTATTACAATCTCGTCGCAGGAGGGATGGTGGTGTCGGTTACCTGGAGCAGCACAATGCTCAACCGAAAAATTCATGCCCGCCTTCATGCCCATGCCTTCCTGTCCCAAAAGGAAAGAGCTCAGTTTCATTCGCGAGCTTGCCCAAAGTCAAAGGGAAATTGATAGTCCACGCCGTTTAATTTCAATTGTTGCCACTCAAGCCATGACCAGTACGCCCATGGTGGACGTGTTGAACTCTGACGCCGGAGGCACTATAACCAAGGAGTTGCTTGGCTTGACCTCGTCTTCTTCGGGCCCATCAGTCCATCCTCTCTCAGGGCCCCATCTGATCTTCCGGTTGTTTGCTGAGGTCACTTCCAGCAGGGCCCGCATCATCCCGCCCGACTTCTTCACACCAGGCCAAGCGTCGAAATAGACTGTATCGATCCAGGGCATCTGGTTGAAAACCTCTGTCAGGAGGGACTGGCTGAAACCTTCATAGAAGCCGTCTGACCGGCGAAACCCATTGAAAATGCCGTCGCTGGGATCGCATTCAACCAGCACCGTCAAGCGACGAACATTGACGCACTCGTGGAGGCCCAGGGCTGGCGTAACCACCCATCCTCGCGGTGGTTTGCTCCATCCGGGACCAAGGCGAAGCTCCAGTGATGTAATGTACGATCGTGAGCTTGGCTTCATACGAGCCAAGAGCGGTTTCTTGCTTTTGAAGTACTTGCCCGGGTGTGTTGGGAAGATACGGAACGAGCGGCTGCTATAGAAGTAATGAGAGACTTCCTGATAGACAGTACGGCAAGTTCTTTGAATTCCGAGCTTTTTGTGATAGGTCTTGTAGTTGTCCGGGTCGAGGTCTACGACGCCACCACTGCCTTCAAAATAGTAGTCGTAAATCTTGAGGCGAAGTTCTGATGGCAAAGCCATGAATGCAAAAGGCTTGGCCTTCCTCCTGGCTGCTCTTCTCTCGCTCAGTGTGAGAGAGCCAATGCTGTCTCCGAGTGCGTCTATTTCAACTTCGGAGGCGTAGGTCGAGGGGTAGGCGGAGCTTAGTGGTGTCGTAAGAGCAGACGCGATCGGCGTGGGGTCGAGTGACGAGCCGGCGGCTCTCGATATCTTGCCGCGTCGAACCATTATGGCGGTCAGTGGCTCGGGTTGATATGCGTGATGCGATTTTATCTTGGGTTATTGAATCCTTTTCAGGTACCCAATCTGTATTCAAGATGTTGAGGTTTTGATGATGCGCCAGCAGTGTTGGTGGGTGGGAACGTCGGAAGTGGCGGGGTGGCGGGGCGGTTTTTATCGCAATGGAGGGTATCTGGTGGTTATGTGCAGAGATTTCAATAGTTTTGTGTTTATTTTGTTTGGTTGGTGAAGTTGTTGCAGGTCGACGGAGAGTCTCGCAGAGCGTAGAGAATCACAGAGGGTGGTCCCATTGTGATCGTTGATGCGAACTTGGGGACCACCCTCTAGAATTCACCACGCGCGACAGCCATGGTGACGATAGACTGAAATTGGGATTGTGCTAGGTTGAGTTTGGACAGTTTGTGTTGGTGTGTCTATATCTGAGGATTTCGGCCAGGTGAAAGGAAATTAGAGGGTGCTCTTCGAGGGTTGCAACAGGAGGAAGATGCGAAGTGGGAAGAATTGCGAGTGCAAGTCTTGGGGGTCGGCCGCAGTTATGAGAGGGGGGGGTGGCAGCACTCAGGATGGACGGACACTCAGTAGGTAGGCGGTGGTGGATGCAACTCATGCATGAAGGTCACTGCCGGAGGGGACGAAAGACATCGATCGCGCGTCCACCATTGGGACAAGGTTCGCACGTGAGCCGCTTGCCAGAGGACGTGCGCTTGATTAACTAAGCATTGAAGGAAATGGCCAATCGTTGATGAAAAAGTATAGAGGTGGAGCCGCATCTGCATCGAGAATGACCTCATTTGAGGTACGGATACAGGGCCTTACCTAGGTAAGGTAAGGACCGTAAGGTAAGGTAATGTGAATACCTTAGGTAGATACGGAGTAGAGACTTATCGCCGATGACTTATCCGGAGAATACTCGGCACAGAGTGGTAGTGGATCAAAGCTGTTTTGCAGAGGTCCCATTCTCACCCTGGCATGCCTGGCCACAGTGGCACCAGCTCCCTGGCCCCTGGGGCACCTTCCAGGCTCTGCAGGACAGCCACAGTGAGGTTCCGAGCGAGCTTCTCATGGCACCGTGCACCCAACGAGCTGTCATTCGTTCCCCTGGTCAGAAAGTTCAAAGGTGGTCCAGTGCTTCCTCATCGAAAATTTCTAGTGCCTTCGTCAGGAATATCGCCAAACCCACTCCACCTCGACATCACTCCCCAGCACCGGCATCTTTTCCCGTCAGCTGGCGCAACACGCACCAATCTTTTATCAAACCTTTGGATCAAGACACCTATCCAGGCTCGAAGCCATCAATACACAGCTACGTCTACATTGGCCCTTGAAACGTCATGCTGTCAAGGGCAGCTCGGATCGCGCGTCTGCAGCCCACTGCGGCGCAGCTCTACCGCTCTGTCGCAACACCAGCTGCGAGAAGACCGCAGTTCCTAGCCTCATCATGGGCCAGAGGTTTCGCGCAGGACAACAAACCGAAAGGCTCTTCTTCAGACAAGCCGATTGACCAGCAAAAGTCTTCCGACTCAACGCCAGAGGAGGCCTCGGCGTCGTCAAGTCCCAAATATAAAGCCGCGTACGAGGAGGCTGCCGAAGCTTCATCCAAGACATCCTCAACCCAAACTCCCAAATCCGACGCCGAAAATGCCGCCGATAAGACCGAAGCTCCTGAGCCTGCCGCACCTACCGGCCCACTGCCCGATCTCACCCAGGGAATTCCCTCCACCCTAGCATACGAGATGTCTGGTGCGACAAACAAGGCCGCACTGGCTGCCCTCGCGGAAGAGGAGGCAGTGGCCCAGGGCGGCGGTCGCGGACGTGGAGAGCTTCCCGACTCGGCATACGTCTCATCAACAGACAGGAAAAGACAGCAGTTTGCGAGTCGCATGTTCCTCGCCTTTGTCGGCTTCGGCGCTGCCGGTGCCGTCTATCTTGGCCGCAACTGGGAAGACAAGGCAGACGAGCTTCGACACGCGGAGGATGCGCCAAACGGCTGGGGATTCGGCGCTTGGTGGAACAGAGTCACCGCTCGTACCGGCGATTTCTTGAACTACTACCAGGAGCCAGCCTTTGAGAAGCTGCTACCTG